TCATAAACATTGGAAATTAAAATGCCATCAATTGGCCACCCTGAACCAGACCCAGCAGAGCTGGTTCATGTGGCTGCAGAGCATCAGAAGGACTACTCTACCACACAGTGGAGTTACTGTCCAGCAGCAGGACAGGTCATTGTTGTTCTATTGTAATTTTTGTAAAGAAAGCATACTTGCGTTCCCTTTCACACATCCGGCCCTTCTGCTAACACCACAAATGCAATCCAATTCTGTGAGTAACTGAATCCCACATAAGCTTTTTAGGCTTCTGTGAGGGACCAGGAGAATCCTTCCACAGCTTTCCTGTCAGCTTCACGCACACATAAACAACGTTAGGTGAATTATTGATCCTGTTTGGTGGAATCCTCCAATTTTATTGAAATGAATGGACCAGGTTAATATAAAAGAAGAAATATCCTGGCATTCTCTGTTTGTAATGATTGTATATGAGAAAAAATTGTTGGTTTTTTTTTTTTGTTTGTTTGTTTTTAAGTCAGCACAAGCGCACTGCAATCCCAGAGTGGTATCCATTCCAAAATTGCCTCACAGCCCAGTATTGCATTAGCATTACCACTATAGCTACATCTAGATACAAGGCTGGCAGTTCAGCCTGTGATTGATCAGTGGAAGTGCATGGTCCTGTGGCAAATCAAAATGAAACTGCCAATAAAGACACAAGCTTCATGCTGTGTCATACTGCCCTGCAAAAATAACAGTAGCCACGGTAGTGACAGTAATATGAATCGCTGGCAGTGTTGTCGCCATCTGTAAGCTTCCATACGGTATATAGTAGAACTGGCATACTGGGACTGGAACATCGGCGCTCTTTTCTTTCACAGCAACAAAGCTGTCAGCAACAAAAGCATACAACAGCACACACCGTGCTGTGTTTAATAGAAAGGCCGCTGTGGCTTTTTTTTTTTAGCACCTCCATCACAATTGTTGGAGCTCACTCTTGAGGGTTTATACTTAACATTTCTGGACCAGATGGAATATGTGTGCATAATGTCAGAGGACTTGGAAAAACATGGCTTAGCTTGTAAATGAAGTCACACAATTTATATTTCAGATTCCTCAGCCTGATTTCTAGGCTCAGCATTTGGTATTGTCATAGCATTTCTTTCTCGACGGCATTGGTAAAGGCTCTTAGGTGGAAACTGAAATTTTGATAACGTTTGGATTGCGGAACTGTGGCGTGTAATACAAAACAAGTTCATACCAATTATGCTAATGTTATATTTTCCGTATCTGACTGAACTTCCTCTAAATCTTAATTTCTACTGTAGTGGATCTAGTAGAGCCTGTGATGTAGTCTAAAAAGTGGGAGCATTCATACTTGTGCGTAGCGTCCCTGCATTGCGCTGCCATAAAACACTATTTGCCAGCGGAGTTTCTTTCTTTGAGTTGTTCAACTCTTTTCCAGTAGATTTAGCCAGAAATGCATAGTAGGAAGGAGTGGCCCACACAGTCGTTATAGCACTGAACATATCACTGTTAAATGCATCACTGATAAGCCATTAGTGTTGCGTGGTATGCTGATACTAGAAAAGTGTTGCAACCCTTGCGCTCAAAAGTTGTACTATTGTCAGTTTTATTTGTACCACTACTTTAACAAAGAGTTTATTAATAGGTAATTAATGGACTTGACGCTTGATAATTACTGCTGTGAGTGAGAGGGATGTCAAGGCATGTGAAAGTCACAGGAGTAAAGGGATATAGAACACATGGAGGAAGAATAAAATCCAGAAAACCAGTCCTTAGTCTGGGCAGGGGTTATATACAGAAAGGTAGTCAGAGAATACAGAAAAAATGTCTAAATGTCCTGCACAAGAAACCCAAAGACTAGAAAACAAGTTACACAATGAAATGCCCTGAAGGCTTGACTAGCAGTAACAAGACAATCTGTCAAGTGGAAGGTGAAAAACGGGAGGTGGGAAGAGTCTTTGGACAGTTGGACATGTATAAACAGGTCAACCAGGGTAGACAGCAAAAAATCCCACAATGGTGCCCAAGTTCAGAAGCAAAAAAAAAAGAGGAAAATTTGAATCTCAAAACTGAAAGAAAAAACAATCTAAAACCCACACAATAATTCAATATACCCAAAGCCAAATCTTTGGGCGCAGGCCTAGAGAATCTGTCTGGAGAAGAGCAAGGAAATGGTGGTAATCTCTGCACTACCCTAGTGCCATCCCGGGCCAAAACCAGAGTATTTCCAGTGGTGAGACTGTATCTGAGGCAGACTATTTCCTGTTGCGTGTTACATGTATGAAAGGGCAGCTTTGGATGATGTCCCAACCTGATTTTTCTAAAACTGTCCAGCTTTGATGTGTGAAAATGGCTTATGTAACAGGAGTGCGGTTGATTTTGTAACAATATTTTTTTAATCAACAATAATTTGAACAAGGCAGTTGGCAGAAAGTGGAAGCAACTGTTTCATTTCAGTTAGTCTTAAATCTAACTTGATAATGTAGTCAAAATTATATAAAGAAATATATATAAAGAGATTAAATAAGAGGTTAAATAATAGTCATAATAGACTGTACAATTATTTCATAATAATTCATGGTATTTGAAAAATGTGTTTTTTGGAATGCTTGCCAAGCGCATGTAAGTTACGTGTTAGGGAGTCAAAACTGAGCATGATCTAATTTTAAATAATCCTGTTATTAAATGGCATAAACCAGGGACATTGTAATACTGTGTATCATGTAAAAGCTTTTAATGAAACTGTGAGCTTGACCTAATACAGAGTAATCTCATTATTACTGTTTGGGTTAGGGTTCATCGTCACAGAGACACCCACATGGATGAAAACACAGATGACTCAATACAGGTTAAGGTCTGGACTTTATAGTTTTGCATCTAATTTAAAATTCTGGTTAATGAGACCAGTCTTTCAAAAGCAGTATACAATCTATGTAGGCAGTTAAAGTTAAAACTGACATTTTAAAGTGAATTAAAAAAGAAGAATTTTAAGTGCTGTGTTGTCTAGCCCATTATTCCTTTTCTTTTCCTGATATTTCAGGTATTCTGTGGTGTTCTTATAGATTCTGTACTAACATATTTATGTTGAAATTGTATTAAACGGATAATTTTGGTGTTGTGACATTCTAGTCAAACCCAGCTACTCCCACTCAATTTCTTTGTTCTTAGGTTATCGCTGTTTTTGCTCTGCGGCTCTACTACAACCTCACCATCACTTTATAGAGCTAGCAGAGTCAGATGAATCAATGGAAACAATGACTAAAAGGAGAAAGGCACAGAGGGAATTAAGGTCAAAGAAAACAGGGGAAGGAAGCAGCAAGCTGGGAGGAGGAGCTTGAAAAGACAAATCTTAATGTTCAGTGATTTGCAGCACACAGAATTATGCAATCCAGTAACAGTCAAGCATCACCTCAGTCTGCAGCTTTCATAATTACCACAGGGCCGAATCCCAGTTTCTAAAAATTGAACATTAAATACTTTACATTGGAAATGTGGGCAGCGAGCAGGCTCCCCTGGTGTGCTGTTGTCTCCATCTGCACTCAGACTAAAGAGGTGAGCCATTGTTCAGATGTCTGAATGAGTGTCAGTCACATGGTAAAGCCATTCAGTTGCCATGTGCTGCTGGCTGACACAGTGAGCTCTTTTTCTCATGTTCAGTTCATTGCATTAGCGAGGTATCATTTTACATTTTGATGGTTTTTACCAATGTGGGTGCAGACGGTGAAAATATTTCCTCTCACACCGGCAGACGGGTGCTGGCTGTTTCTGGGAAGTGATGCATGCAACGAAATCTGTTTAAAGGGTGAACTATGGAGTTTTGATGTTAGCAAATCCAGTAATGCTGCGTTGATTTTATTTTCTGATAAAAGTTAAAACCAGCACTGTTAACATTCTCTGTTTGTCTTTCTGATAAATTATGAGAAATGATACCAGGAGTAAATTTACTGCTCAACAATCCCTTCGGTCTTATTTTGAAAGTTCAGTTGGTGGTAATAACTAGCCTGCTTGGTTGCTGTTGTGGCGCTCCTTAGTATGATTTACCTGCATCTGGTCTTGGATTCGGTGGACTCCAGTCCTACTGTCTTGGACCACAGTTGGCAAAGGTAGTCGTCGTTCTCATCTGGGAATGCACAGCTAGCAGAGAACTCCAGCCAGAACCTGCAGCTTGTTGAGAACTGGATCACGTGTCGCTATGCCCAGTTTACCAGAGCAGAACATAAATTACAGCTGCCAGCTGCAGACTATTTGCTGGATCACATAATTTGTAAATTAGAAACTATTAGAATTATTTGATTATTAATTTGTGCCTCCTTCTGCATGCCCACATGTGCAGATATGCACCACCACCACAAATCAGTGGAAAGCAATAAATAATATGAGACATTGCGTGTGTTACATTGCATGCTCATGCATCCTAATAGTGCAATGGATCTTTTTTTCTGTTTTGTGTGTGTTTTTTTATTAAAGTTTTTTAGTAAAAATTGTGAACCCTAAGAAATGTCCACGTGCATTTGCTAGTATGCAGCATAACACAGTATATAACATTGTCCAATCGACTCTGCATCAGGTTCGGGTCAAAAACTTGAAGGGGTGCATTTAATAGATCCAAGGTAGATTCAGAGGCATGTTCCTGCATTATTATCCCTCATGAAAATATTTCAAATTTGAAAGATGCAAATGTAGTTATTTATTTCTCTTCATGAGCTCCTTTCAAGTGCAGTAAATGTGCAGTTTCCACACTTACAGAAGGTTGTGTGAACTGATAAATAATTCAAATTTAAGATGTGTTCACTGCCATAAATAAACCCTCCACTTTACTTTTGATGCCTTTTAGAAATGTGTCACATGATGCTTGTACAGGCCGTGTATAGACACTTTGCAGTGAATTCTAAAACTTATGTTTTAAATGTCGAACACATGCTGTGATATATGTTGTTTTCTAATTGCATGGTTGAAAACCTCACCTCCATTCAGAGACCATTAACTGAGTTTGTAACTGCTTCTTGTTGCAGGTTCTGAGCACATGGTACAAGGTCCTGACTGAGTACACTGGTGGTGCAAACAGACTTACTGCTGTGGTGAGTGATCTACAGCCAGGCTGCATTTGAACATGTTTCTATATGCATAGCTTATGCAAGTTTCAGATCCTGGATCTTAAATATCCCCAACTCTAATAGGACTGGAAAAAAAACCCCAAAAAATAAACCAAGACAGTGGTTTTCACAATAATAGCTTTTGAATTGTCATCACTTCCTTATTGATTTTGGGTTTTGTAGAATGTAATATTCTTGCTCATATGTAAGAAAATGAATTTTTTCCCTTACTTGTATTTTCCCTCTAAAAATGACGTTTTAGGCAGGCATGATGATTTTCTTTTTCATGTGCCATGTATTCTAGTTGTATAGACGCAGACGGAGGTAATTCTACACCAGTGGCATGTTGCACGATTCAAACTAATTGCACAAGAGTGCTAAAGCATATATTTAATGGATAATAATTCTATTTTAGCAAGATTCTTATAAAAAACAAAAAGCATGTGTTTGAAGTACTTCTCAAATGGCTGGTTGAAAGGAGTGGATGGATTGGTAATGTTGTTAGTTTTGTTTCTGTTTTCTTAAAGGTTATTTTTGATCTTTTGTTTTCATCTGATTAGATCATAAAAGCAGAAGGGAACAAGAGGAAAGATTGTGATATGACGCACACTGATCCTGAGGGTTGTACTATTAAGGTCAACATAGCGAGACTTTCGTGTGCTCAGCAAGACCTAAAACTGTAGCCAGACATGAGTATTATGTTGGTTGCTATTAATTTTCTTTGTGAACTCAGGTTTTTGGCTTCAGGCTCTGAAATGGGGTTGTTAAATGTATCTTTTGATTCTTTTTCTTAAGTTTTCTTTTTGGGGTTTTAAGAGTGCAGTGGTGACAGGAATACGGGGGGGGGGGGGGGCACAAATCTGGCTGTAATGAACGTGAGCTGTAATGGTGTGCCATTTAATTCTTCTGTTTGCAAAGGTCCAATTAAGTGGTGCCTTCTTCAGTCAGACATCATTAAAAACCAGTATTATTATAAGCTTTGACACGGCTGCACAGCTTAGCAAAGGAGAGTGGGAAATCGCTTTTTTACAAAGTGAAAATTAAATAAATTTTATTGATTCATATTTTTGCTGGTAAATGGGCTACAAATAGACTATTTGTGTCCTGTTAGATACAGTTTCAGTGGTTAAAACCAGAACTGGCAGCAAAGTAGGATTTTTACATTTGCTGCATAACTATGCAGCACGGCTTCCTTCTGCAATATTACTAAGATACAACCGAATGGCTTGCATATATCAAACAGTTTCCTTCAGCCGAGTATCTATATTGCACTTGCAGCATGTCGCAGAGAAAAAGTCTGAAACTCTTGCGATAATGTCATCCTAACCTGGTAAAGCCACATTTGTGACACTGAAAACGCAACACAGCTCACTAACCTGTTAATCCTGTACTGCAGTACTTTCCTCGCAGGTGTAATCAGACTGCAGACATCAGTTTTACTAGTTTTTTCTTTGGCTAGCTGCTAGCAGCATGCGATGTGGATCAGTATGGCCTCAGTTTTGGAGCCCTGATTCCTGTATGTTATACTGGAATCCAAAAATTACTTTATTTTTATGACCGTACCGAGACCACTTCATGAGTCCTGTGTGATTCATCTGGACTGAACAAACAAGTTTCAAATTTCCCCAAGGCTTACTGGCAGTTAGTCGCACACAAGTGTCATTGTTCCCCCACTGTTTTCCTGTTGTACTGAGTTTATTTTTGGTCTTTAACCACTTGTGAAAGTCAGAAAGTGTGAAAGCGTCTGTTTGAGTTCCACTGGAGGAACAGACCCCTCTTCCTGTTTTTTACCATTGAAGAATCCAGCAGGTTTCCTGTGAACCCTGCCCAAAAACGCACTGTTGCTAGATAGGACTCACATCCAGGTTCTTGGTTGTGCTTGTTTAAGTTCACATGGCAAGTGATTTTGTGCTAACTTTCTGACATTGTTGGTTCGGTTTTCAGGTTGAATCGCAATGTTTTGCTCTGACTTGCTAAAAACTCCTCTCACCCACTTTAACAGTTAGCTACGTTAATGTCAGGTCAGCCTCGCTGGAAGGCTTTGTTTTCGCCACTGTAGAGCCCTCAGCTCTGCTTATTTGTTTTATTCATGATGCTACAACTCGGCACTGGAGCTCTTAGTCACCCAGTGAGTGTGTTATTTACATAAAGAGCCTATAAGCACTGGTACAGAGTTTATATTTTCATATCAGAAACCAAGAAGCAAGTCATTTTGCAAATGGTGTTTTCTGGTGTGATGTAACGTGCAGCGGTTGAACTGCTTGAGGAAGGCGGTTATGTCAGGGGAGCATGTTGGAGTGTCTTTTGTTTTTTGTGCTGAGGATGACATGTAACTCAGTGGTGCCAAACTACACACCCAATTTGTTTATGCCCTGCAGAAACCTTTTACTAACAACTTTAATTTCACTCTGAATGCCAGTATTGTTTCTCACATTTAAAATACTTTTTGTCACCCCAGGAGCGAGGCGATACGACATCCGTATCTGGTTTTAGGAGAATTTTGTCAGGATGTCATTTCTCTTCTGAATTTTGACGAGTCTTTAGAAAACCCGGCTTCTGATTTTAGCTTGTGTTTTGTGTTTTTATTAATGCACTTGTGCAGAACACGGTGTTGCTCATACAAGGCTGTTGTATGTAACAGGAGAAGAAAGCCTTTGTTCTAAAATGATTCAGCCCACTGTATTGATCGTGTGTATCACTTTGCCTAGAAACCAGCGCGAGAGCTACTCTTCCAGAATGTGCCCCCATTTCTGAAATCACACCACAAATATTTCAGAGACTTGTCCATTAGTGTGTCCTGAAGGGACTGCAAAATTCCACACCTCCTGCAAAGGATGTGTCTCTGGTTAACCCTGAAGCTCAAACCCTCGTTTAGTGAGAGAGCAGAAAAATCAGAGTTGAATGAAAAGACATAAAGCGAGATAGCCGAATACAGATCATGCATGGCGGATAGAAGGTGAGATTAGTTTCGCCACAACTCTTTTTTTCATCTGTAGACATCTCCCTCAGTGGTTTATAGCTCTGTAAGGACTGTGCAATAAAATACAGCTTTGGCTACACAGAAGAGAATTACTACAATGGTGACTTGAATTTTATCGTTGTATCATTTCAGCTAAATTTGAACAAATACAACTTCTCTAGGTAGATTTCCCCACATGTAGTCTTTAGTTGGGTAGGCCACCCAGGTATAATAATGGCCACCAAAGCATACCAGCTTGGCTTGGACCTACTGGCCTCGTGTTTTCTTTATGAGCTGGCTCACTGGCTAGGTAGCCTTTGTGATGTCCACCGTAGCTTTCAGCTGCTTCCCCCCAAGAACTCATCCAGCAGTTGGGTGAACTCCAATTCGACCATCTTTGATTGCAGTTGGTATTGATTCTTCTGTCCAGAGATCTGCTGCAAGCTAATGTGCCACTGTGGCAAACTTAAAGAGGCTGCACAGAAGGAGGACTGCCAACAGTAGCATTTAAATTGGTTCCCTCTTTCCCGAAATGCATTTTTGAGCCATATCAGCTCTACATGGTCCACAATAGAGGCTCATTGAAGAGGCAGACAGTTATATTGGGCAGATATTCTCTGTCTTTCTTCCACAATGTACATGGCAAATATACAATAAATAGGACTGGGTTCAAATATTCTAGGTTCTTTAAATCTACTGTCCAGTTCAAGTGAGTGTATGGTCTTTCTGAATGGCCACACCAGAAGGCTGATTGAAAAGCAGTCATCACAGAGAGTGAAGACGCTTCCTAAAATGCAGATAATGGGGCATGCTTCCAGACAGACATTGATAGAGATGTATTGAGCTGTACTCATGAACTGTGACACATAGTTGAGTAAAAAATGGGGAAGAAAGAGGGTTGGAAAGAGAAAAAGTTCTGTCTCCTCTTTTACATTCACACGGCTGGCCCATAATTGCATGAAGTTTGAGTGAATGTTGGGTTGTCTGCTTCAGGAATGTTAGAGAGCAGTGTGGACAGTCCATAATATCACTGCCAACTAAACCCTAGTCTCCGCAGTAGCTCCTTTAAACACTTCTTTGGCATTCTGCTTCTTGTTAAAATGCTCACTAAATCATATATCTGCAATAGGTCGGCAGCCTTAACATGAAATTTCCCCTTGTGGGACTAATAAAGGTATCTTATCTTATCTTATCTTATCTTATCTCTGAAAACTGCAAATAATAAAAGTTGGTGAATGCCAAAGCATTGGCGAGTGCATCTGCTCGTTCAGGCACGCTCGACCACCTGCCAAAAGAAATATTCTACATATCTTATGTTTGCTAGTTGGACAAATTGATAAATATAGACCTTCATGTTTTACATTAGTAGCAACCGTGTTGGTGTTCACAGTGCTGACTTCTGCAGGAATAGAGGGAGCTGGAGATTCCAGGAGACGGCTAGTTATTATCTCCCTATATTTTTTTTAAAAGTTATTCCTTTTTCAAAAGAACATTGATTTGCAGAGTTTTCAGACATGTTTTAGAGTCACTGTGTGAAGTTAATTCATGCTAGCTTTCAGCCTTTGAGAGCTTTGTTCCCCTTCTACAGTCATCGAGTAATACATAATCCTGAAGCCTAAGTACAAGAGTAGAGAAAACACATCACAACAGACCTTTAATAGATATTGCAAAAATGTCCGGCTAGTCTAGCTGCTGCAATATTTCCCAACTTAAGCACGTCATTAGTCGTCTTGCACCAAATACCACATCTAGATGCATGCTAAAAATTTTTTAAGCTACCAAATTCACTCCAACAGCGTAACCACATGTGGTCAAGTTCTCAATGGCACTACTTTTGCTGATAATACTGATCCAGATCTCTATCAGCATCTGTGTACAACTGTCAAATGTTGCATCACACAACAAAAGGTTACAAGTCAAATGCTTTCTTAGATGAAAGATGTTGACGTGTATCGGTGTGTCGAGGCCTGTGATAATATTCTTGCCCTACCTCTGTTTCTTTTAAGAAATCAGGACATAAATGATT